CAGCCAGCCCCGCCCCCTGGTGGGCTGAGCTGGCCACACACACACACAATAAATAAATGTAATAAATAAAAATAAATAAATATTTTAAAAAAAAAGAATTCAATCCCCTGTAACAGCAACAAAAAATTAAAAAAAAATTAAAAAAAAAAAGAATACTGGTTATTTTACTCTGTAAGGTAACTTTTATTGTCTGATGTTTTAGGTAGCCACTTTTCACATGGCATTTCAAGAATCCAGCCTCTTAAGACATGCAATGGACCGATCAAGATTGGTTTGTCAAAAAAAGCAAGATTTAAGCAACTCCATCCTTACTTGAAATAAATGTGTTATGAGAGCTTAAAAGAAGATTTTTGGACTTTTGAGACATTGCAAAATGTGTAGAAATGTTTTATGTCTTTCTTTGGATAAATGCTTTCTTTCAGTTTGGGAGTTTTGGGGTTTTATTATAAAATGTGGAAAGGTTATTTTGTGTGTGAAAAATTACCATTGAAGATTAGGAAATACTTTATTAATATTTTCATATAATCTAATCAATATGCATATTAAAATCTTTTTATGATCTTATAAAATATATTGATTTACTTTTATGATATATGCATATGAGCTTTTGGTAGACATGATTGATAACTTTCATAGATTTTTCACAGGATTCATGGCTCAGAAGAAAGTAATGAGCTACTGTTGACATCCACTCCATTTTTCTAATGAAAAGGTAGAAGTGAGGATTCCAAGTGGGCTTCCCAGGTCACAAGGTTGTCCTAGGATTGGTTGGAGGTGCTCCCACCTGAAGAATCTCCTGTCACCTTTGTCAGCACATTTCCTGTTTTCCATTCTCCCCCTTGGTACTGGGAACTGAATCCAAGGGCTTCACAGAGAGTTACATCCCAGACCTTTAGTTCTTTTTTATTTTGAAACAGGATCTCACTAAGTTAGCCAGGCTGGGATCAAACTTGTGATCCTTCTGCCTCAGCCTACAAGAATATTGAGATTACAGGCATTTGGCACCATGCAGGGCTATCTAAATTTTATTTCTTCTCCCAGAGTCTGTCTTTGGCCCAAGGGTAGAATTATGATTATATAACTACCAACTTCTATTAACTTATTCATAGAACGAGTACCCTGCCATATTGGTATTCCTGTGATAAGGTTAAGTGATAAGAATAGAGAAGACATAAGTAAGATCATAACTAATGGATCTTACTTTTTATACTGGAGCTTGGTAGAGAAATATAGGAGATACACAATTTAAAGCTAACCATCATCAGAATATATATATATATATATATATATATATATATGACAAAGAAATAATAAAAGCAGCCACTTATCAAAAAGGAAGAAAACAAGCATCCAGAAAGTATAAAAAATTACAAAATGTATTAATTGATGGGATTATAAGTAAAGGTTTTCAGACTTACTAAAAAAACCCTTCAAATTTGGCTTTGTTCATTAATTTCTACTTCTCATCATATTTTTTTACTTTAATACCCTGCTGTAATTTTCTACACCAGGACCTCTCATACTATAAATTATGCCTTGCTAGAATGCAAGCTCCTTAAAGGCAGGTTCACTCTTTCTCTAGTTATCCTAGGTGCTTAGACTAGTACCTGACTCCTAGTAGATATTCATGAGATACTATGTGACTATAAAAGAATACATTTCAACTCCTATCTCAAAATAGCTATGTATTTTTTATTAAAAATTGTCAAATAAAATTGTATCTTGATAGATTAAATTATATGTTTAAATAAATTATATATAAATTGTGTATATGTAAATTGTATGTTTCTTTTTTGTAGCAGAGTTATATCTAGTGTCTAGCTAATTAACCTGTATATTGTCACAACACAGTTACCATTTTTGTGGTAAGAACACTTGATATCTACTCTTAACATCTTTTTTTCTCTTTTTTTGTACTGTTGTGACTTTTGCACTAAGCTACCTCATTGCTAAGTAGAATGCTTTTTTATTTTTTTCTGGATTCTGCATTGCATTGTTTTCAATAATATGCTATTCTTTTAAATTTAATGAAAATGTTTCTTTTTTTTGTGAATGTCTTTGTTTTCTGCATCATTTAAAATTATAAGCCCCTACTGGATTTTTTCCTCCATATTTCTACAAAGTCAGTCTCATCACAATTCAAGTTTGTCTGCACATACTTAATACTTAATCTTTTTACCTGCTCCCTGTCATTGTGGACAAATAATGTTTCATTCTGTTCTCAGTTTTGTAACTCCAGGGCAGGTATATGTAGTCTCAGTCTTATTCTTAGTTCCTGGAAACTTTTAAAGATCCAGTCCTTTCATCTCTTCTCTACGCAAAGCACATTCCCTTGTAACTACAGCTGCTCTTTCCTGCTCTGAGCTGATGGAGCAGATGGAGAGTTTCACCTCTGAGCACCACAGTGCTTTTCTTCCACTGGCGTAGCTCTGAAGAGCTTCCGGATGGAAGTCACACATCCCCAAAGACAAAGACAGAGCTCACTCCAGCTGCTGCCATTGCCTGAGCACACATTTCCCTGCTATCTTCAGCACATGTGCGCATGTACATACACACACACACACACACACACACTGTATACTTACGCACACTATACATATATACACTGTTTCTCCTTATACTTCTGTGAATTTTTTCCCTCTGGAATTACAAAGTGAGGTAGCATTTTATTTCTTACATTTTTTTTTCATAGCCAGATTTGGGGTGTTTGCATAGAAACTGTGGTGGTAGACATTTTAAATTGTAATCAGCAGTCTCCAATTCTTTTTATACTTGCTTTTAAAATGTAAAAGTGGACCACTTTCACTGGGCATGGTGGCACATGCCTGTAATCCCAGCACTCAGGAGGCTGAAGCAGGCTGAATCACTGTGAGTTCCAGACCACCCTGGGCTACAAAGTAAGGTCAAGTCCAGCCTGACCTGCATAGTGAGACCCTGTCTCAAAACAAAACAAAACAAAACAAAACAAAACAAAACAAAACAAAACAAAACAAAACCAAGCAAGCAAGCAAGCAAGCAAGCAAGCAAACAACAAAGAAATGTGGACCAATTCCAAATCACAAAGGAGAAATCACCACTTCAAATAAAGTTCACTTTAATTCAAACTCACTATAAACCTGTGTTATGTGAGTTTAAAATAGCAAGTTTTTTTGGATGTGTAACTGTGATGTGAGAAGGGAAGAATTTTGACTTGCCAAAGGTAAATTGATAGTACCTTACATAGGGGCCTGGGAGATGGCTCAGTAGAATAAGTGCTTCCCCGGCAAGTGCAAAGGTCTGAGTTCAATCCCCAGTTCCGCCAAAACAAACAAACAAAAAAAACACAACAACAACAACAACAACAACAAAACGATAGTACCTTACGTACATAAGTCTCTGAGCAATATGACCCATTTTACCTCACTGAGTTAGACAAAATGAAAAACTAAGTATGTAGTGAGTTTGATAGTCAGTTTCATCTAAATTGCTGCATTCAAAAAGTATATACCATGAGCCACCATTTAGAGGAATTTTTCTAGTGGTACAGACATCATGTATTTTCGCAGATTTACAACAGTCTGTGCCAGATTTTGTACTACTAGAAATAATTTTTGGACATAAATATATCAGAACAGTACCAAATAATACTTTACAAATTACTGTTTAAAGTTATCTTTATGGGGCTGGGGATATAGCTCAGTGGCATAAGCGCTTGCCTGGCAAGCACAAGGTCCCATGTTCAATCTCCAGTGCTGGAAAAAAAAAAAGATTAAAAAAAAAATAAAGTTATCTTTGCTGGATGTGTTGATATGCTATTTTTCAAGGACAGGTGCTATGGTTTGTGTCTAGCTGTCCCCCTTAGGCCTTCCATTGTTATGGGGTGGGTTTCTAGAATTTGTGAGCTAAATAAAGCATTTGCAAAAAGATATTTCTCTCTTTCCTTTTATCTGTCTTTTTTTGCTCTTTAATTGATTTACATTTTGGATTGCTCATATAAGAGAAACTGTACGATGCTGAAGTTTGATGTCTGATTTATTCTGCTTCACACTATGGCTTCAAGGTGCATCCATTTTCCTAAAAGTGTGCCCAGTACCCTTCTTCACAGCACAGTGGTATTTCATCATGTATAAATACATTTTCACTGCCCATTCATCTGCTGATGGACATACCAGCTGCTTCCCAGATTGAGCTATCATGGATTTGCTGCTGCAAACACTGGAGCTCTTTGTGCGGCTCCCAGTGAGTAGTGTTCAGCTGGGCATAGTGTGGGAAGGCTGTCTGAGGGAGGAGCAGGCCCTAGCACTGGATTATGGGGGACAGATAGCATGGCTCCCCTTTCTGCTGCTATGAGGCCTGCAGCGATTCCTCCCTACCTGTAGGGCTGAGCCATCTTCTCTCCTCCCCCTCCTCTCCTTCCCTTCTCCTTCCCCTCTCCTCTTCTCCTCCCTTCTCCTCACCCTTCTCCCCTTCTTCTTGCTCCTTCTCTTTCTCCTTCTTGAGATCAATTTCTCAGGCTGTTTAGAATTTGGACTCCTCCCAACTCAGTCTCCAAGAGTGCTGAAATTATACATTTTCTTGATGTAGGATACACTGATATTTCATCAAGTGATTTGTTGGTGACAATTGCATCATTTTCTACTACTTTTATAAATCTCACTTTTCAACCAACCATGGCTAGGAGGAGCCATCAGTAGCTATACCAGTTTTATTGACAAAGTTTAAAGGAAACCCTTTTCATATCTCTTGTGCAAGCCAAGAGATTTGTCTTTTAAAGGCACCAAAAATTCCTTTCTTTGGTAACATATTCATGAATACATTTTATTAGTAAAACAGCTGGTTGAACAACATTTGTAACTTCACAGTTTCATTTATCACCAAAGTAAAAAATTTGAAATTAGCAGCAATAAAGTTGAAATTTATTTTACAAATTTCTCTTGACTGATTTCTCATTTTTTTAAGTGTATCTGGCTAGAGTTGGTTAGACTGATTTTAGAAATTTTTTTTTAAAAAACCAGAACAAATTCTGTTTACCTTCCATGTATCTAACAAACTTATCAATAGTAAGTGGTTTTGATTTTCTTGAAATCAGGTTTACTACTACATAGCTCTTCTAATAGATTCTGTTTGAGTTGTAGTTTTTTTTTAAAAATTGAGATGATAAACTTTTTCCACTTCTGGTATTCTGTCTTACGAAATATTTCTTGATCATCATTGAATTTGGCAGTGTGTTTTATGTATAATATTTTCGAATTTCAACCTTTGACAATGATACCATTTCCATTATTTCCATGCACATTGAGCATAGTGATTTATTGTGTCTCTGTCTCTGTCTCTGTCTCTGTCTCTGTCTCTGTCTCTGTCTCTCTCTCTCTCTCTCCAGTACCAGAGAATCAAACTCAGAACCTTGTGCTTGCCAGGCAGGTTCTTATGCTGCTGAGCTATCTCTTTGGCTTCCTCTGTC